TCAACTTTGGTCATTTTCCCATCGCCGTTGCATGGCCTCTCTTTGTCTTTTCTATAAATATGTCTATATCAATTTTTCCTTTGAGTTCCCCTCCTCGGTAACTCGTCTACATGAAATTAGACCTACTACTAGATTGGCAAATAGGTTGGAGGAAATTTAACCGTAAATTCTATTCGAATAGGTACTTATCTCTCGCATGGAATGATTATATTATAGCCTAGGGAGGTATATTCTCATTATATATATATATATATATATATATATATATATATATATATATATATGACCTAGGCTAAATTATACCCGAGTATAAATTAGCCTCGACCTGATTCAGTGTAACCATTCCATTTCATTTCAGCGAAAAACCTGAAAACAAGAAGAAGTAATGAGTTGCTCTCCTGGAAGATAGCATCAGCCGTAGTGATGTGACGTAAAAAGGATTCTCTAAGATGACTAAAAGGCAGAAGTTTCGATTTGGAGACTTTAAAATGTTCATAATATTTCTTGCCTCAGATAACAACTGATACGCTACTAGTTCTATATAATCAGCTCCATCGGAATTGCCAATTAATCCAGGAATAAATAAATGTGTCCCCTGAATAAATACCGGTTTGAGAACTGATAACCTGAGGTGGACTATCTCTAAAAATATTGATTGGCAAAAGACAAAAGTGTCTCACCCACAACTATAATCTTATCATTTAATATTCATAACGAATGAATAAAATTTTCAAAAAATATATAAAAAAGGCGTGAAATTAAAATTGTTGTCGAAAAACTCTGTATGTCTTAGTAATTACAGTATACATGTACTGTACATATTACTGGCAGTAGATAACAAATGTTAGCAATAATATAGGAATAAAATGAATAACTATCGACACCGAGATTCGAGCCTGACACTTTGGACTTATGAAAATATGTTTTCCTCAGGTGTTTAAATAGTGGTGTCAGGCTACTGACTGTAGTGGTTATTATGTGGAACTATCCAGTCGAATTATTGTAAATTATTCTGCATCGATGGTTTAGGTCTTGATTTAGTATTTACAAGACGTTAATCCGAACCGCGTTACCAAAAAGGGATTCACTGAAATGGTTCATTATTTTTAGTTGACTTTTACTTCTTTGTTCTTGTTAAGTATTTATTTGAGGTTGTAATTAAATACTGTTTTATTTTAACATTGAAGTCTTGAGTGATACTTAACCGCCACCGTACGTCACAAAAATTTAAATACAGAATTTTAAAATTTATTTATTTTTAAAATTACGTTCATATTTTTTAAAATAGTTTACCGCTCAATTTACATATTAACAGATAGCTCAGAATCAAAATAGAGAACTGCATGAAGTCTTCGACATGAAGACCAGTCGTTTGTCTTCGTTCGTTGATTGTTCAAATCTATCAATAATTGCTTCTGCATCCAATTCATTCAATAAGCCCCTTTTAAATAGATGGCAATATGTATGAATCCAAATTCACTTCAGACATTGAATGTGTCTTTATTGTCTAATGTTTAAAAATGACCTTTCACATTGGATTTTTCAGTAACTGATAGTGTGCAGATGATTTTATAAAGTTCGTATACCATTTTTATTATTAAAACTGTTGTATGTTTTTTTTTCTTTATTACTTTTTTATTTGATATAGGTGGCCCACTCCATCTGCAGTCCTCTTGCCCTCGGCAGAGACACAGTCGAGACCGCCACGGCATTTCTATATGTAGATAAGTAAACTGACAGGTAGGTAGGTGGACAATAAATAAATTAAACCACATTAAATACGCTAAAATCTTTTCCGGTATATCTGTATTAAACGTTTATTTTAAAATTTCATTCAATTTTAAGGTCAACCCATATTAATTTTGTTAACTTAGATTAAAGTTTTTTTTTAATTATCGTTAAAATCTCACAGTACCAAAAAAAAAGTTAATTTATTATTTTAAATATATGCCAATAAAATTCAGGTAAATATATAGGTGTGTTCTTAACTTGACTATATATATATATATATATATATATATATATATATATATATATATATATATATATATATGTGTGTGTGTGTGTATGTGTGTGTGTGTGTATATATATATATATATATTTATATATATGTGTGTGTGTGTGTGTGTGTGTGTGTGTGTGTGTGTGTGATTAAAGATGACAGACATGTTATTATGATTAAGCTTTATATTTGATTTTTTTTGTTGTGCGAACAAGTGTTTTCTTTTCTGGACACACCGTGTGTAGAAACTGTTCAAATGTTTTGTACTTCCGAGCACTTTCGGCCATACTTTTAGCTATTTTGAAGGATGATTTTATTTCTATTTTTTATCTGAATATATATGTTTTATATTCCGAACAGAGTTAGCACATTGTGGCCGTGTTCGGGTTGGCTTTTTCTTTTTTATTATTAAGGTTGCCATAATTTTTATTATTTTTTTTTTTACATGTGTATAAAGTTATTATGTTTGTATTTTCTACTAGTATGTTTCGGATGGAGTCTGGTAATGTTTATTTGTCTGTTTAAATGGGTTCTAATAGAGCTCTGGTTGAATAGGTGTAATGTAAGGCCTCTCGATAGGCATGTAGTTGTGTGACTGATGTAATTATTTATTAATTCGGTTTGAACAGTAACACAGTTCTTTAATGAGCAATCGAACTCATAAATAATGCCCGTTCGCTGTAATCACTAAGTACACATGGTCAGGAACTTGGGGTTCCGGCAATTTGAAATTTAAAAGAATGAAGAAAAATTTTAAATTCCCGGCATCCCTACTAACGGATAAACACGTTACAAGGACATTTTCCACTTTGTCACACACACACACACACACACACACACACACATATATATATATATATATATATATATATATATATATATATATATATATATAAATTTACATATATGAGGAGTTATTGGATTTTAATAATGATATGAACTATTATAATTTAAAAGTTATATTTTAGCAGATACACGTGTTTGAGTAGACACCCTATTTTTTGTATGATTTTGAAATAACGTGAATTACATCTACAGTCATGTGCAATTAACAGACGACGAACCAAGCGATGAGACGAACAATATTTCTGAGCTTCCAACTGATCATCCAGTGGGGGTCTTGAAAAAAATGTGCCGCAAGCTCAGTGACAAAAAAGACCAAACCGCTTATCGATCAAAACAACACTAGACAATCTGTTATGGTCCGGTTCCTTGTACCACGGTGATAGTGTAAGGTAGAACCAATAAAGAAGAACTCGAACACGTATATGGAATAACACAGATATATTGCAAACAGGAATATATACAGATAAGTAGAATTGTTAGTATGAACAATCAGGTTTAGTAGAGAGAACAATCTAGTCTCGACCAGTATCACTATTCCAATGTCTTGTAGTAATTGTCTGAACGCGATTCTGTTTCGGACTGCCTCTGACTCGACGCTTGACTCGACTTGAACTACTGACTCGACTTGAACTACTGACTCCTTGCCTACTCCTGAGGCGCAGTATTAAGTACGGAATAGTCCATTATTATTATTATGTGTAAGATCCCATAACATAATCTAAGAGAACACCCAAGCCAGAGAAACACTTTCTTGATGATGCTTTTAGTGTAGGATAAGTTTCGCTGGGGAGGTGTTGTGGAGATCCCTAGCATCGAAATCGGTCCAATGCAAATTGCTGGCATGCGAATTTGTCCAATAGAATCGAATGGAATGCTGTAAAATCCCCTAGAATGTTCTAATCGATATGCTATATATAATCAATGCAGGCGGGGCAGTTTATCTGTCTCTTTGCCTTTGACCTCTCTTGTTATATAACTGTTGGACGGACAGTCAATTAACCTATTCAGATTATCGCTGTGCTTTCTCTGTGAGTGAACGAGAGAAACACGACTGAAGTCATCTCTGTTGAACAGCACAGGTGTCTCGTTCAGTTGACCTTGTGACCTTGAATAAAGATGTCGAACATGTTCATTCGTGTCAACTTGGCAGTGCTTCTCAATGGTAACGGTAATAATAGCCGATTCCCTACAAGAAAAGATTTGGCATCAATTGACCGAGTCGTCAGTACTGCTTTCGAGTGAAATTAATAAAATATATCTCTATTATTTCTCAAGTCCAGTAGTTTTGATCGCTTTTCCAGAATTGATGGGGGCTTCCTTTATTCAAAGTGGTGTGTAATGTTGCCATCTTGATTATGACATGATTTTCTCTTTGAATTACATGTGCTGTCCATTTAAGTTGTTGCTGCTGTTGTTCTAAAGAGTTGTGGTTTGTGGTGCTGTCCTTTGTGTCCCTGTAGTGGCAATGCTCAGTGAAGGATGAAGGTTTCATTCGCTCAAAGTCTTTTTTACCATTTACTTTCTATAAAGCCGATAGTTTAGATATTTCTTGCCACCAACGCTAGTCACGGGGCTGTTTAAGAACATGACTAGAGTTTTCAAACCGTTTTCTAATCTGAAATATAACACGTTTTGTCATTAAGGACCTCATCAGACTTTATCAATGATTTTTATGTTAATGTGACTACGCATAGACCAGAAGGCGAGAAAACACTCAGAATTTTTAATTTATTTTTTCTGTATTAAATTTAATTGAAAAAGTTTATTTAATATCATTATTATATGTTTTATATTTACGAATAATTTTCGCACATCTGGACGAAGTTTTTTGGGTTTTTTTTAAAATTCAATATTTATTTTCGTTATTTGATTGATTGATTCGTTTTCTACGGGTTATCAACCCTTTGTAGTTTATTTAAAGTCAGAAAATATTTCAAACTATAAGAGTTTTTTTTTTTTTTTGGGCATAATAATGATTTAGTGATAGAAGTCTTACTGATTAACCCATAGCATAGGGAAATAAGGTGGATTCATACCTTCCCCGCTGGTATTTGCGCGTAAGTGAATATAACGAACCGAAGTGGAATTTGAACTCGACTCTCCGAATAATAATTCCGAGCCATTATCCATTACACAACCGACACACACAAACTTACAGCACACTGGTATTCCCAAGCGGTTACTCCTCTAAGTACTGACAAGGTTCGGCGTTGCTTCACTTCGGTGATCACGCGGGAACTAGTGTTTTCAACATGATGTGGCCGTAAACCTGAATTAAAAAAGGACAAATGAAATTTCTGATGAGGAAGGAAGGCTTAAAGAACTTGACACTCTCATGGCGTACTGTAGGCAGAGTGAAAAATAGGGGTAGAACAAGGATTAGGAGAGATTTTGAAAGGACAATACTTAATGAGTGACGAAATTGTTCGGAGGTTGTGAAGAGCCATGACTAAACACGACTTGCAAGGAACCTACCACAAAGACGCGAAATGAAGAGGTAAAAAGTGGGCAGTAGATATTCTAATATATCTAATATGTAATTTTCAAATATTATAACGCATATTAATGTAGTAACATTCACACCAGCACACCGTCTGTGTCTTTCGGTAACACATGTCGCGATACGGTTAAGTGATATATAAGAACACAATGAAAGCAACTGTTGTGTTTTGCGAATGTGCGTTGCATTTATTTCGATACGTTTTTGAGAGGTCAGAATGCAGGCAATCGAGAGACTGAATTTTCATTTTGGAGAAGTTATCAGGAACGTTAATGATGCCAATGAAACGTATCAGGTCGAATTATTCTTTCATAAGTTGACGATTTCCTCCGTCACCAATTCGTTAATATCCTTGCATGCATTCTGTTGAGAAGCCAAATTCGCCAGTTGTTTAAAGATGGTAGCAGTTTGATTCGTCAAGAAAACCTGGGGCTTGTGCTGATCAGCCACGGCGTTTGCCACAAGAAAATGCAGAATCTTGACCAGTAATCAGTTCTGATGTCGGATCAAAAGCAATAAATGATGGGATAACAGCCGAAAAATTAATGATGCCAATAGAGAAGTGTTTTATTAGCTGCATTGTGGAATTTCCGAAAGCTACATTGAAAATTTAAATATTATTATATCGCATATGAGTGATCTCAAGTTTAGTACTGTTGGAAAAGGCTTAACAGCCCCATCTAAGTAAGATATTAAAGGTTTCATATACGCATTTCAAAATACTCTCAAACACTCAAATTGTTCTGTAAATGACGTCACTTGTTCATGATATTAAATGAGACAGACATCGTTGGTTGAATTTAATAAATTATGCATTATATACACACGCATACAAAATAAACACTCATACTTAGACACACACATACCTACATAGCAGTAGAAAATATAAGCATAATAATCTCATTCGCATGTAAAAATGAATAAACGTAATGAAAGACTTAATAATAAAAAAGAAAAATCCAACACTTAATAATATTAATTATGAACACGGACACAATGTGATGATCGTGTTTGGAAAATAAAACATTCCTATAACTCTAGATACATATATAACACAACCTATACATCCAGATAAAAAACAAAAATAAAATCATCCTTGACAATGGCCTTAAGTATAGCCGAAAGCTCTCGCAAATTTAGAACATTTGGACAGTTTTTACACACTTTATGTCCAGAAAAGGAAACACTTGTACAAACACCAAAAAAATTAAATAAGACGCATAATCCATGTACCTCCTCAACCGTCTTCAAATGAAACATATATATATATATATATATATATATATATATATATATATAAGGAAATATATGGATATAGATCCGACAGTATGAAGAAAAATACAGAAAAAACAAACAAAAATTTTAACATGCAATTATGCTGTATTAATGTTAATATAAAGTCGACGTCGGACGTTTTGGTCTATTTAAGACCATCTTCAGGACATTATCATTTAAACATAATTAACATTAGAACATATAAAAATTTAACACAAAAGACGATGGACATAAGAGCACAACTAATCCAAACAGATAACTGAAATTTTTATACAAGATCAGCGTTCCGTTTAAATATGATCACGTTGTCGTCACCTGGGCGATGTTGTGAAAACGTATTCGAAGATGATTTCCAAATATTAAAAAAGTCGATTGAACTATTTTATATAAACAGTTCAAGAAATCCCTTCCGTTGAATATAGGAATACGTAGAGATTAATAGGCTCTTATATCTTCATACAAGCTTGAAGTCCTCCACGTTACAAAGCAAATAAAAAATGATTTAAAAAAACGATGGAACAGTTCTAAGTGCTCTTATGTCCATCGTCTTTTGTGTTAAATTTTTATATGTTCAACGGAAGGGATTTCTTGAACTGTTTATATAAAATAGTTCAATCGACTTTTTTAATATTTTAATATTTGGAAATCATATGATGCTGTTGTGTGACACTTTAATTTGTAATTTTTTTATCTTTTGCTACAAGTAAATTTTTGCTAAAATAATAAATATTATGTTTAAATGAAAATGTCCTGAAGATGGTCTTAAAGAGACCGAAACGTCCGACGTCGACTTTATATTAACATTAATACAGCATAATTGCATGTTAAAATTTTTGTTTGTTTTTTCTGTATTTTTCTTCATATATATATATATATATATATATAAGTGTATTCATATTTGTTTATATATATTTGCTGATAATACCCCTGTAGACACTCGCTTTGTTTTGCACACCTGTTACTCTTTATTAAATAATGGCTTTGACGCGCCACGTGTAAGGTTCCGGTTTGTTTTAGCCGAGTTAATTTTTTCACGGCCATAAGGAAAACGTCAACTTATTGACTTCCGCTTTTCAGCCGCGCTATACGACCAGCAATCCGATGATTTTGAGAACTATCCTAATCTTCGAAGAATTATATTGACCTTTTTTTTTTTTTTGATGATGATGAGAAATAAACAGATTGAACGATTAGGAAAAAAATCGCTCGAATAAAAAGCAAGCAGAGAAAAAAACGTGATAAAATAAGAAGAAAAAGAAGTAGAAGAAATTTGATGAATGAAAAGAAAAGGAGAAACATTTCCAGCAGTAAAAAGAAATATGAAGACGAAATAAGAAGTAGAAGAAATTTGATGAATGAGAACAAAATTGCAAAAAACGATGAAATATCAAAAGAAGAAGAAATCTAATGAATGAAAAACAATTCCATTTCAAACAGTAAAAGAAATATGAAGACGAAATAAGAAGTAGAAGAAATTAGATGAATGAGAACAAAATTGCACAAAACGATGAAATATCGAGTAATAGAAGAAGAAATCTAATGAATGAAAACACAATTGCACAAAAAGGAGAACATTTCAAAAAGAAATATGAAGACGAAATAAGAAGTAGAAGAAATTAGATGAATGAGAACAAAATTGCACAAAAACGATGAAATATCGAGTAATATTGAATGAAAACACAATTGCAAAAAAAGGAGAACATTTCCAGTAAAAAGAAATATGAAGACGAAATAAAAGTAGAAAAATTAGATAAATGAGAACAAAATTACAAAAACGATGAAATATCGAGTAACAAAATGAAAACACAATTGCACAAAAAAGGAGAACATTTCCAGAGTAAAAGAAATATCGAAATAAGAAGTTAGATGAATGAGAACAAATTGAAAAAAACGATGAAATATCGAGTAATAGAAGAAGAAATCTAATGAATGAAAACACAATTGCACAAAAAGGAGAACATTTCCAGCAGTAAAAGAAATATGAAGACGAAATAAGAAGTAGAAGAAATTAGATGAATGAGAACAAAATTGCACAAAAACGATGAAATATCGAGTAATAGAAGAAGAAATCTAATGAATGAAAACACAATTGCACAAAAAGGAGAACATTTCCAGCAGTAAAAGAAATATGAAGACGAAATAAGAAGTAGAAGAAATTAGATGAATGAGAACAAAATTGCACAAAAACGATGAAATATCGAGTAATAGAAGAAGAAATCTAATGAATGAAAACACAATTGCACAAAAAGGAGAACATTTCCAGCAGTAAAAGAAATATGAAGACGAAATAAGAAGAAAGAAATTAGATGAATGAGAACAAAATTGCACAAAACGATGAAATATCGAGTAATAGAAGAAGAAATCTAATGAATGAAAACACAATTGCACAAAAGGAGAACATTTCAAGCAGTAAAAGAAATATGAAGACGAAATAAGAAGTAGAAGAAATTAGATGAATGAGAACAAAATTGCACAAAAACGATGAAATATCGAGTAATAGAAGAAGAAATCTAATGAATGAAAACACAATTGCACAAAAAAGGAGAACATTTCCAGCAGTAAAAGAAATATGAAGACGAAATAAGAAGTAGAAGAAATTAGATGAATGAGAACAAAATTGCACGAAAACGATGAAATATCGAGTAATAGAAGAAGAAATCTAATGAATGAAAACACAATTGCACAAAAAAGGAGAACATTTCCAGCAGTAAAAGAAATATGAAGACGAAATAAGAAGAGAAGAAATTAGATGAATGAGAACAAAATTGCACAAAAACGATGAAATATCGAGTAATAGAAGAAGAAATCTAATGAATGAAAACACAATTGCACAAAAAGGAGAACATTTCCAGCAGTAAAAGAAATATGAAGACGAAATAAGAAGTAGAAGAAATTAGATGAATGAGAACAAATTGCACAAAAACGATGAAATATCGAGTAATAGAAGAAGAAATCTAATGAATGAAAACACAATTGCACAAAAGGAGAACATTTCCAGCAGTAAAAGAAATATGAAGACGAAATAAGAAGTAGAAGAAATTAGATGAATGAGAACAAAATTGCACAAAACGATGAAATATCGAGTAATAGAAGAAAAATCTAATGAATGAAAAACACAATTGCACAAAAAGGAGAACATTTCCAGCAGTAAAAGAAATATGAAGACGAAATAAGAAGTAGAAGAAATTAGATGAATGAGAACAAATTGCACAAAAACGATGAAATATCGAGTAATAGAAGAAGAAATCTAATGAATGAAAACACAATTGCACAAAAAGGAGAACATTTCCAGCAGTAAAAGAAATATGAAGACGAAATAAGAAGTAGAAGAAATTAGATGAATGAGAACAAAATTGCACAAAAACGATGAAATATCGAGTAATAGAAGAAGAAATCTAATGAATGAAAACACAATTGCACAAAAAGGAGAACATTTCAAAAAAGAAATAGAAGACGAAAAATAGTAGAAGAAATTCGATGAATGAAAACAAAAATTGCTGAAATATCAAAAAAATGAATGAAAATTTCAAAAAAAAGGAGAATATTTCAAGCAGTAGAAGAAGAAAAATAGTAGTGATTCGATGAATGAAAACACAACTTCAAAAAAAGAACATTTCAAGCAGTAGAAGAAGAAAAAGTGGTAGAAAAAATTTGATGAATGAAAACACAATTTTACAATAACGAGAACATTTCAAGCAGATGAAGAAGAAGAAAAAAAGAAGTTGAAGAAATTTTATGAATGAAAACACAATTGCACAAAAAGGAGAAAATATCAGGTAGTAGAAGAAGTAAAACAAATTTGATGAATGAAAACATAATTGTGCAAAAAAAAAAGGAACATTTCAATCTATAGAAGAAATTTCATAAATGAAAACACATTTGAACAACAGTTGAAAATATAAATAAAAAGAGCTTTGAAAAGGGAGGGAAAAATGTTGAGAAATGAAAACTGAAACGAGAAACAAGGGAGAAAAGAATTGTTGAATCTCGAAATTAAAGTGAGAAATCAATGAAGAGGGGAGGAAGTAAAGAAAAAAGAAGGAGAGCGAGAAATTGAAGAACATACGTGAGAAAGAAAGAATTATTTTTTCTTTCTTTAAATGAAAGTAATTATTTTTAAATGAAAGTAAATTTAAAGTAAATGAAAGCGTAGAAAGGAAATACATGAAATAATCAGAAAAATAGATAGAAAGAAAGAAATAAGGATAAATAGATGTGGGTATTTATAATTTTCCTTACATTTCTGGTCAACAGATCTTCTGCAAAAAGCGCTGAATAGATAAACTCTTCAATTGCTAATAGATAACCTCCTCAATCCTAAACAGATTTCTCAAACATCTGGCCCTGATAAGCGTTTCGATGCTAATTGGTTATCTAGCTAAGTCATTTGAACCTTTTTCAATTTAGTGAAAAGAATGCCAAGAATTAGAAGTAATTAAGGCAGGTTGTGGTTTTATTGACGAAAAGAAAATATGATGCTGTTGTGTGACACTTTAATTTGTAAATTTTTTATCTTTTGCTACAAGTAAATTTTTGCTAAAATAATAAATAATAATCTCATTTTAATATGTTTGTAATACATTTTAATTTGTAAAATTTTTATCTTTTGCTACAAGTAATTTTTGCTAAAATAATAATAAAAAAATTCTCATTTTAAAATGTTTTTAAAGAAATTCAGGATGATGCCAACTTTTACCTGCAGTATATAAATATATCTGAGCGTTTGGACAGCAAATGCTCTTCTAGGCTTATTTTTAGCATAATCCGTTCATATTCACGGATATTTTCCCGTGTATTACAATCAAATGATGCAAAAATGCACTTTAACAGTGACAATCACTTTTATTTCACAGGTACTTTCCGTATTTTCCAGGGATCATCATCAGGGGTGCTACCGGTAAGCCAAAAAAAAAAATTGTTTTCTTTGGAATTTTAATAGACACGAATAATAACACATTTCCTTCCTCCCTATATAAAAAAAACCATCCAGCAAAAGTCTTGCACTCACAGAGTGAATGTCCTAATTATTACAAAATAGTACTTATACAGAATTAATTAACTAACCGAGCACAAAATAATTCCTCAACAAAAAAAAGACATTTTACCCAAAACAAAAAATATTAAGCAGACTATCAATAATAATGACTTCCCAAAGCAAATTGTAGATGAACAAATAAGATGATTTATCAAAAACTTCAACACACGTCAAATAAATCATGGTATTCTTCAAAGGGCCCTAAATATATCAACCTCTTAAATTATAAGCAGATGCAGTCTAACTAGAAACAGGATGAAAAAAAAAAACAAAAAATGAAACTCATTCATACCAATATATATCTCCCATGGATCTCAATACAAGAATAAAATTAATCATATATTATAGAAAATAAAATACAAGCAATTTAATTATACGCAATAACTCCTCCTCACTAACTGATGTATTACGTAAAACCAACATTATATATCAATTCATATATCCCTTAGGAGAATGTATCGCCGACAGAAAACAAATATATATATATTGGCTATACGACAACTACATTATCAAGACGTTTTACTCTACACATGTCTGATCATTCGTCCACTTTGAGACATTAATACCAACATTACTGACCACATTCAAAGTATAGGAAAATACAGATTGATAACAACTATTCTCCACCAAGAAGATAGCAAATTAAAACTACAGATCCTCGAAGCAATCTCCATTAAAAAAAATTGAAGCCGACACTGAATAGAATCAGCTACGAATACTTTAGTAATGTAATAAAATGCCTATAAAAAAGAACAGTTTTCAAGCTTTAATGCGCGCTTGACCATGGCATTCCAACATTCAAGAAAAAATTCCATAATGAATAATGATTTCACATTCTAATGAAAGATAAACATAACTGTCAGCCATTGCCTTTTAAGACAAAAAGAAAAAAAAAAATCAGTAATGAATCGCTACACATAGTTTTTGCTTTACCAGTTGCACCCCTGATGATGATCTAAGAAAGAGATGGAAAGTACTTGTAAAATAAAAGTGATTTTGACTGTGAGAGCGAATTTCTTGCATTATTTGATTGGAATACACGGAAAAATGTCCGTGAATATGAACAGATTATGCTATATAAAAAATTTCAATCACTAACAAACATCAAATCAAATTCTTTGTAGACAGTTTAGACATTAAAATTTATATCAAACATTATAATCTTTATGAACCCCCAAAATAACACTTTCAAAGTAAAACAAAATGACAGCGTCTTTTTCTAGCCGATTTTTTTTCCAAAGAAAATTAGTGACACCTTCTCTCATGACTTTCTTCTCTCTTTTTCTTTTTATGGGTTTTTTCTTCTCTACCCCTTCGATATCAATATATAACTTCCGTTAAGTTATCCGGTTAAATGTGTCAATGTCTGAACCTCAAGTAATTTTAAGCATAAAAGAATAGAAATTTTAAATTAACTCACTCATGTCTTCTCTCCCCCATCACTTCGTTAATTTACATATGCTTAATACGGCTCGTCAAAAATGTGTAAATTTCTTTTCATTTTTTGTTTCAACCTTTGGAAGTAAAGTCTGATGATCCGCAGTCCTTTAAAAGAGCTGTGATGGAATAAGTTATTACATGGAACCGTAAAGTGGTCTGTTTTTATTTAAATTATTTGCTCTGGAATTACATTGAGCTCGCTGGATTTTATCCTCCTTGGGTTTACCCATACGTAGGATTACCTAGTTTTTCATAAACTATATATATATATATATATATATATATATATAGTATGTGTGTGTGTGTGTGTGTGTGTGTGTGTGTGTTTAGGCAGCAATTTTTCATTGACGCATGTTTCATTAAATAATATAGACAAGTTTTGTCTATTTATTTTAAGTAAGTTCCTTTCATATTATAAGTTCCTTTCATATTGTCACGACGCTTGACTCTACATTTGAATGATAACTCTAACATTTTTAGGCATTTAAAACAACATGCCTGGTCGCGTACACGATTCCGGAAAATCCTCGTTGAAAACACAACTATACTTAAACATGAAAACAATAAGCGCAAACTAAACATTTTTGAAGTTATATACATCAAACAGTTGAAACCTCACCTGAACAAAATAAAATATGAAATACCCACAAATATTCTTAAATGCCTATAATTGATAACAGAAGTCACTGGTTTATACCAACGGTTTCCCATACTTAATACATCTAGTTTTCACTCTCGTGTGGTCTTGTGTGACATCACAAGCAGCGATGCGATTTTCGCTTCCGCGTCTCGTATACACCAGTTTGTCGTTGCTTTGAAATTTTTCACGCAACAAAAACAGACTATCATTATTTTTTCGTCCGTGTATTGTTTGATATATTGAAATTTAATTGTCATCTTTGATAATGGCTTATGTAAGCCGAAAGGTTAGATATGATTAAAACATATATCAATATATATATATATATATATATATATGTGTGTGTGTGTGTGTGTGTGTGTGTGTGTGTTTTCTGTGTGTTCTAATTTTTAAGCAGCGCTATGTTAAAGAATTATTATTAAATTAACATATATTGTTTGATTAGCTGAGATTTTGGAAGCCACCTATTTAGTTACTTGTATGATAAACGCTCATCCAAAACAGACAACGAAATCCAATCAATACGCTTATCTTATAATTATCAAAATTCCTCTCGGAATATGTTTTCCAGACGGTATTTAGATTCAGAGAAAGATCCGCTCTCCTCGGAGAACGTTTAGGTATGTTAAGGAAAAAAGTTAACAATAAAAAAAAATATTACTGCTAGAAATAATGAAATAATACCTATTAGCAATTCATTTGAAAATTTCACGGTTTTCTTATTTGAATTTTCTCTAGCAAGTTTGAAGATAATAAGCTCCTTCCGAGTTTCCCGACTATAAATTTCCCGAACGACTCGTTAAATACTTGAGCTTATCAACTCTTAAATATTGAAATGAGAACTATGAATATGAATGCAGAGTATGTTTCAAAGAAGTTGGGGCTACAATGTAAATGAATAAAAATCAAAAAGTTTTATATTTCATTGAAGCAGACGTTAAACGCATGAGAGTGCTATCGCTTCTTCTATCTCTATTCTCTCTTTCTATCTCTTTCTCTCTCTCTGACTTTCTTTTATTCTTTATTTATTTCTTCATATCGTAACTGATTTACTGGATTTCTTTTTCATTCATCTCTTCTTGTCTTCTTTCTTTCTTTCTTTCTTTCTTTCTTTCTTTCTTTCTTTCCTTTTCCTAAAACCAGACATTATATTTGGTACATCTTTTCTTCCATTTACCACCACAATCGTGAAAGAATGGTCAGCAGTTTATAAGAAGTATTGGCAGGTCGCAACGTACATGCTAAAGAGCCATCAAAATTATAATATAATTATTGCACAG